TTGTCTTTTCTGCTTGATTAATTCAAGAAAGAAAGTCATCAGATGGCCCAGACTTATTCAGATCAATGAAAATAACAGTCTCTGTCCATCTGGTAGATTTGAGGTCATCTGGTTCACTACAGTCCCCCCTTTGGAAATCATCACCTGTCCATGGGGATGAATTCCAACCGTGAACTTAGACCTTCAAATGTCCTTGAGCTTGATGTAATCCAGCAAGGAAGACCAAAGTCAAAAGTAATCCAGCAAGGAAGACCAAAGTCAGAAGTAATCCAGCAAGGAAACAAAGTCAAGGTAATTCCACAATGTTCTTGGTATTCCATTGTGTTGATTATAATCCCATATCGTCTCGATAATTCCATTGTAGCAATGCTTTAACCCCTTGGAAACAGAGTCTGTAATCCATTGGAAAAAGTCATATAATCCACAACGGTAAATCCACAGCGATTGGAAGTGTTGATTAATCAGCATACAGAGGGGTACCCTTGGATTGAACTGAAGAAGCGGCCACTGGATGAAGAGTGGAGACCAACGTCAGGATTGCAGGTCGCCTCCAGCGAAGGTTGTCTCCAGCGACGTCCAGCCTGTGCCGTTCTGGTTCAATGTGTCATGCAATTATGTGGTTTAAGGTGGGCTTATGAAGGGGATTTTACATAAGGCCTTAAACTATATGCATCTGGTGTGTAAGCTATTATGGTTGGGAACAGCTACAACTACCAGTTAAGGGGTGGAAAATGCTGAAAAGGGGTAACTACAGGGGTTTATGCCTATAGAAAAGTGTTCCAAACTATTTTTCCATTTCTAACTTGGTTTAAGTTAGCTTTACATGGTAAAATATAGTTTGGTGTAATTGTCTGTTGTCTTTTAGACGAACGACTTGAGATTGGGTGTTTGGTTTTCCCATAAATGTTTTGGAAGTCTATGGCGAGACTTATCAAAAAGAATTAGCTATCCCCCCGAATAGAATTGTTCGAGTAGGTTCGGCTTAAGCGTTGTGAGATCAATGTAGATTATGGTACTCAAGGTAGCAATAATATACATTGACTCCGCAAAGATTGCAATTTAGTGAATGAACTGCATGTTGGCATGGTTAAAGGCCTCTTAGTCTCTAACTTAACTACACAACAAAATTCATTCTTCCTTCAGAAACAATACCAAAATCAACTAAACAACGTTTCAACACCGACAAGAGTAGTAACTAAGCAACCAGTTAAACAACGTTTCAACATCGACAAAAGCAGTGATTAAGCAACTAGGAAACAACGTTTCGGTGCGCCACTCACTCTGAATGTCAGATTTGATCATGTTATCGCGTCTGGTAGCATTATCCTAACTGGCGTCACCCCCCTTCGGTCATGGGAGACTGCGAACACGGGTGAGGACGTCGCTCCATGAGCTAAAGTTAGGTTGTCCTTGAGTAGTTTTAACTGTTTGCGCAGCTGAAAGAGGACTTTTAGGTCTGGATTGGAATCCAGTTTGACTTCCGATGGAGTGTATTTGTCTGGGTCAGTCAGATACAGTATCATCGAGTTAATTGCAGGATCATTCAACTTCTGAAGTTGGATGATGTCTGGGTCAGTTGAAATTGACTTTTCATATTTTAAAAGAACTTGGCGAAGTTTGTCTCTTTCTTCATCAGATGTCAGAGTGTCGGCTTGAGCGACCACCTGTTCAATCTGCGATGAGACTGATGAGGGTTCTTGCTCCATGGGGAGTGTATTGTGAAATTCTTTATCAAAAGGGCTCGTGAAACGGTCGGCACAGATATTCAGACGATGGAAAAAATGACAGAAGCTGTTACTGCTAGGATAAATTAGTGTCCTTTATTATCCTGCCACAGAGAACAGCCAAGCAAAAAACATGTACACTCTTAACACACAGATTGATATGAAATAACTTCTCACCGTGACACTGGCCGGGAAGTCGTTTTCGACCCAGGTAAAGAAGAATCACATCAAAATTGGTGCATGGCATTCAGCGCGTGCTGATCCACACCAGGACTCCCAACTCTCTGTTGTCTGATACATTTCTTATAAAGGCTTCCCTGATCGCGTGAGAGCAGATCAAAGCAAGTTTGATGGTTACCAGAACAACGGATCTAATTAAACCATCATCAAAAGCGATGGCTCATCCAGTAAGGAGCGCCTGTGACCGTAAAAGCGGGCCAAAGCTTCCAGGTCAAGAGCACTCCTAACGCTTATTAAAGCATTCCTAAAGAGCACTCCTCGTCCCTTCTGGAAACCATCAAAGAGTGCCTAAATATTATAAGCAACACACACACACAAAGTATATGTTTGAAAACATAATACAAAATACAATCCCTAATATGTGAATAACACGTTGTATAAGTGTGTTTAAATAAGTGTAATATAGGTCTAGATTGACATAAAAGCATTAAAATAATAATTTCTATATCAGGGAGCTCCAACGAATCCTTTTCTGAGTCGTCGGACCTGTCTATGGGCAAGGCACCATAGGTTTGAGGTCCTTGGTCAACATCATTGGTTGAGAAAAGAGCGATGGCCTGTGATGGTTTCGTGAAACATACTGGCCCAGCTTCTTGACTCGGTACCAGGTTATCTGGGAGTCCTCCCAGAACTGGGATGCCTAGTTCAAAATCATGAAGGTCAGGTTCTGAGTTTTCAGTTTGCGATGACTCATCATCGTTTGTGTGTGAGTTTATCCCCCCTTCGTCCGATGAGGGGTTGTTGGAGGCAATAACAGCAATGTCTCGGTGTGTTTCACCGACATCTGTAATGTTGTCAGTCGCGCCTTCAGAGTTAGTAGCGATCAGATCACTACATTGTGCTCCTGGTTGGGTTCCCATTTCAGCGTGTATCAAAGTGTCTAAAAACCTTTGCATTTCCTCTGTCTCTTCCGAGCTCAGAGGTTTAGGGCCTTGTTCCTGGAACTTTTGTGATTTTTTCGCCTCGGTACGTTTCGTCCGAGGTGGGAGGCGGCTAGGTACGTCTTTTGGGGGTTCCTCTTCGGATTTCCCATGATAATATGGGTCCTCTTGGATCCCATATTCTTGCGTCCTGCGCATGTCCCATGTACGATAATCACGTTCATCCTCTGAAAGAGGAGCCTTTTTGTCCCAGCGTGCACCTTCATTATGCGGTTTGTTAGTCTGAAAATACTGCCTTTTCTCGCCTGTCTGAGGAGGAGGTGGCGTCGCACGCCTTCCTTCCATTTCTAGGGAGTGGGGTTTAACCTTTATACCAGGAAACACCTCTATGGGCGTCTTAGCATGAGAACGTGCCTCAAACACATTCACAGCACACTGTTTAATCTCATTTATGGATTTTTCTCTGAAATTTGCCATAATTTGTACTGACATGCGTATGTCAGTGTGGAGATTTTTGCTGAAAACAAATTCAAAATTTTCTTCTTCCTCCATTCCGGTTTCATTTCTGTAACCAAAATAAGCTTGGAAGATTCTTTTGTAATAAACTCTTGGATGTTCATTTTTTCCCTGCTTGACCTTGTCAGCGGCTGGGAAACCAGCAGGTCCTGTGCAGGGGTCGTACTCTTTGATCAAAGCTTCACACAGAAGGTTGTAATCCCTTCTTGTTGCATCAGGTAGACGCTCGATGAAGGCATACACCTCTCTGTCTGAAGTGAGCCGTATCAGACTGATCTTATCTTCTACCATAGCATTAGGATAAGATCTCAATCTGAACTCCAGATCTTTGAGATACGCTTTTGTTTCAGTTGAACCCATCGGTTCAGGTACAAAACGTTGTACATATTTTGAGAGTTTTAACAGAACATCCATTGAAAGAGGAAGTTGCCATGCACTCTGTTGCATGTTTGGTGGAGGAGGCCTGTTCAGGTCTGTTCCTACCACTTTATGTGAGGGTGGATTAAGAGCAGGAAGTGTAACAACGTCTTTCTGAGGTGTATGTGGGTGGCCTGGACTCTGTCCACGGTCTTCAACTCGCCCCACGTCAGAAATCTTGTTTGTTGCCGCTCGTAGTTTTTCTTCACATGTTTTTAAGCGTTCCTGTGATGTATGATAATCACTTTCTAAACGCATATTTAGCTGTTGCAATATGTGTTTATCCATTCTGAGTTCTTCCAGCTTTTTGTTAAGCACATCTATTTTGCTATTCAGCGAATCAATTTCTGCATTTGCATTTTGCTGTAATTGAAACATCTGTTCAGAATGTTTTTTTGTGAGGATTTCGTGTTCACTTTTAAATTGAAGGAAGTGTTCTTCAATTCTCTGAACCACCTCTTTTTCACTGTTTAACCTTATTGCAAGGTAATCAGCTTTCTCAACAACCGTATAGAATGATTCTTTCAGCAAAATTGCAATTTTAGCCAGCTTTTCATAGTTCGGCAT